TGCACGCGAAATGAAAATACAAATTACACCCAAATAACCGGTAATGACCGTTCATTGGTCGCGGGAATCGCAGCACGAGTAGCGACGAATCGATGCGGCGAACTACGACTTCGCATTGCACCGGCCAGGCGCGCTTTCGCAGAGGCGCAAAATTCGCCGGTGGTGATTTATCGACGTGGAAACGCCGGATGGAAACGAGGCTGTAATCTCGACGGTGATTCGGAGGAACTCGAGGCGCGATGTCTGTCCTTTTTCTTTCTTTCTTTTTCTTTTCTTTTTTTTTACGAGACCGGATCGTGCGATCCGCGCAGTATGCTACGTTAAGCAGGGAGAACTGTGAAAGCGTCCGCTTCTCGCGATCGAGTGAAAAGTAATGGAGCGACGCGGAAAAAGTGCACGGTGCGAGAGAGCGTCGTCTCGCTCACTACGTTCGAACACCTCTCACAGATACACGGATAATAACAACTCCGTCGTATCTGCACGACGGAGGAAACAATCGCCGATAGCGGAACGACGCATGCGTCGCGGCAATATTCGACGACTCATCCGGAGGGAGAATTTCCTCGTCGAATTGATAAGAAATAATTATTGCAGGCCGAGATGAAGTTTTGCGATCGTGCCCGGCACTTTACTGACTTTAATCTACCAACCGAATTTCGATTCGCATCTTCGAAATGTAAACCAACTTTACAGATTAGATTATCACTTTGTTATCTGCAAACTGCGACTTAATCAAGACATTCCGGCGCTAGTAAATCGTGAGATATTCCCGGAATATCCAGAGCTCCGTGACTGCGATACGACATCATGATGACGCGGCGGGCTGTGCAAGTAATTTAGCGCATTATCGAATAGCCCTAAAGTGGCGCATTAGGTCGAAGAAAGAAAGAAAGAAGAAAAGAGGGAATGAGATAGAAGAGGGAAAAGAGAAACAGAGAAAGAGAAGCGGGAGGGAGGAAGGAGTAGGAAGGATTCTCGTGGATTTTATTTCGCCGAATTTCCGTGGAGGCACCGCGGATAGAAAATTGCGGAAGCCAAAGAGACCGACCGACCGACCGACCTGGCGAACGGCGTGGTGAACGGACCCTCTCTCGTTCCTTCTCTCTCTTTCTATCTCCCTCTCCCTCCCTCCCTCTCTCTCTCTCTCTCTCTCTCTCTCTCCGCACTTGGCAAAGCTCCGGCAACTGGATCGAAGCGCCGTTGCACCGACGGTTTTCCCCTCCTCTCCGACAGAGCGTCGGACGAGGCGGCGGCGGCAACGGCGTCGGCCACCGGCCGCGCCGCTGCACGCGCGTATATACATAATTAGACGCAATTAAGCGGCCGCCTTATCTGCGCGCGGCAAACTCTCTGTCTCCCTCGCTTTGTCTCTCTCTCTCTCTCTCTCTCTCTCTCTCTCTCTCTCTCT